CCCCCCCCCCCCCACACACACCCTCACCCTAAATTTTTTAGGTTATGTTCAGTTGTTGTGTTCTTTGACATTTGTTGACAAGTTGAAGTTGTTTCACCCTTTCTTAATTACTTCGAAAGCGGCTTCTTAAGTTCTGATTTCTCTGAATTTCATACTACTGTCAAAGCTAGATTAAGTACCAGGTGCGCCTTAGAGCTCAACATCAAGGTGACCTGTCAATTGGGCTCCTTGTTGTAACAATTGTGCGATTGTGTCATTGCAAGCGCATGGCCATTTTTTCCCCGCAAAACCATTCACCTGTAAGATTCTTGTAAGGTAATGGGTGATGTGTTAGATAAGAAGTACATCCTAGCATTAGATGTTGGCAGCACTACCATCAGATGTCATGTTTTAAACAAGCAAGCTGAATCCCTGGGTGCTGGTACAGACAAAGTAAGTTGGCGTATGTATATACCCTCTCAATCTGACCTCTAGGGCCGAATTTTGTCGGTCCTTACAGCGTACTTAAATATACTTAGAACGTTCCCAACTGCACTTAGTTACAGCTTAGCGCTTCTGATTGGCCGGAGGTGCGGTTTGAACTCATCGATGAATGTTAAGTACATTCCGTGTGAAAAAGCCGATAAAATTCGGCCCCAGGAAACGAAAGACTATCAACCTTGGAAGACTATTTTACAGTTCTAGTTGTTCATGTAGACTTATACAGTTGTGTTTTCCTATCACATGTCTTCCTAGCTTTTATTCAGTATATTCTGCAATACATTTGTTCCAGGTGACAGAATTATACCCAGAGCGAGGCAGGGTTGAAATCAGTCCCACAGACTTGTGGAGTAAAATCAGACATGTTGTGGACATTGCCATCCTAAGTGAGTAATCCCCTTTCGGTACTTCCATTTTGATAACAAACGGATTCTTTCCAGTTCGCTAAATTTGACCGACTACATTTGAAAACTCTGGTGCATTATATTCCGCGCTAACGTATTTACTACTAAGCCATAGCTTCTTGTGTGACATTGGTCACCTGTGTAGAAAGTTTTGCAAAGATTAAACTTGTATCAGTGCACCACGGGAGCCATAGGCAATCAGATAAAAAGTGTAGGATTTTTAGTTACAGTACCACAACGTTTCAAAATTGTGTTCTCACTAGACACCAGTGAAAAATAACGTGTTCAGTTATTTTTACTGTGAAATGGCAAGTGACAGGATGAAGATAGAGAACCTCAACCCGAAACTCTTCCAAAAGAGTGAAAGACGTGAGGTGGCACCTGAGGATGAGGATGATGCAGTCGAGGACCAGTTTGACGCCCGAGAAATTTTTGACTTGATACGTTCCATCAACGATCCAGAACATCCCTTATCTCTCGAAGAGCTGGATGTTGTGAAACAAAGTCTCATCAATGTTGACAATGAAAAGGGTCTAGTCGAAATTCAATTCACACCGACGATTCCGCATTGCAGTATGGCAACTCTGATTGGGCTTTCGATTCGAGTTCAACTCATCAGGGCTCTTCCTACACGCTTCAAGGTCAAGGTGGAGATCACGCCTGGCACGCACGCCTCTGAAGCTGCAGTCAACAAACAGTTAGCGGACAAAGAACGTGTTGCCGCAGCACTTGAGAATGTGAACCTACTCCAGGTGATCAATCAGTGTATAGCAACCAGTATTGCTTGAGTGAATTTTTCTGCTGTTTCTAAACAAGAATAGAAGTGTTTAATCTTCTGGGAAGAATAGCAGGAGTAAAAGTTTGAGCCACCTGTTTTCCTAAATAACCATTTTTTTCTTTCAAGTTTAGTGTTAGGTTACATTCAGTGTTAAAATCACTAAAGCACATTGGTGGACACCCATACTTAGCATCACAGTGGTGATACAAAATTTCCCCTGGCACTTCATTTTTTATGAGAAAATTACAGACATGCTTTGTGAGAAATGTTCAACGATTAAATCCTCTATTCTCAGAAACAAGGATATATGCCTTTTTAATTCTACCACGAGGGGGGACCTAAAAAAATCGGAATTTCGCTGTAACTTAGCAACGGTGGAAAATATCCGGGTTTTGCAGCTAGGAGGTGTAACTAGGAGCTATGAAGAGTCACTAGGCCAAATTTCGACTTCGTAGCACATTTTTTTCCATTTTGGCGAGCCCTCGCGTAAGGGATGTTCTCTGAGCTCTTCGTTTTTGAAGATAGGTGATCTTCATAGGCAATGCGTGGCTAAACTCTGTCAATTTTTGGCGAATCTTGCAGGGAACATGCTTTACCTACAACATAAGTGGACAAATGTTTTTCTTTGTTTTAAAAAGTGAATTATCGTTCGAATGCCAGCTGAACGCCAGGTGGCCATCACTGGCTAGAGCACAAAATGGGGGATCCATTCGGCAACAACGCGTTTTAGGCCCAAATTTTTCACAGCAATGTTCTGAATATTTCTGTGTTACATTTAAGTGATATCTGCTAGTTAATTAAATGATATTTAGCCATCTTCATTTATAAAAACGCGATTTTTTACATATTTTCATCGCTAGCCGATGGCAATAGTGGTTTAGAGCCGTACAAGGGTTTCGGGCGGAACAGCATCATTTTTTAACAAAAAACCGTACTCACGCTGAAGTTTTTGATGAGGCTTGTCCTTCAGAAGCAACACTTCAAAAGGTAAACAGAGGAAGCCGAATTTTCATCGAGTACTAGAGAAAAATTTGAGCACTAAGTGTTGTTACTGAAATTGACCGATCTTCAAAAACGACGAAGTTGCCGAACACCCCTAAAGCCAAGTCTCGCCAAAATGAAAGAAAATGTGCTGCGATGTTGAAATTTGGCCGAGTGACTCTTCACAGCTCCTAGTTACACCTCCTAGCGGTGGAACTCGAATATTTTCCATCGTTACCAAGTTACAGCAAAATTCCGGTTTTTTTGGGGTTCCCCCTCGTATTTGTACCTTGGAACTTGAATTATGTGAGTTTATTTATTTATTTTATTCATTTACAATTGGTACATGGGAGCCAACATGATGGCTATCATGCAAGTCAGTGTTCACAAGGAGAAATGTCAAATTTTTAATTTGTGGGACAGAATTCTTCCTTCAATATTTATTGACCCTGATTAAGGGCATTTGTGAAGTTTGGGTCTCTGCTTTAATAATATTCCAGACCATTTTATTTTTGTTTTTTGAATTACTAAGGTCTCCGCTTTAATAATATTCCAGACCATTTTATTTTTGTTTTTTGAATTACTAAGTTTTGTATCATTACAGTTTTTTTTTTTCAATTTATACAGTAACTTCTTGAGTCATCTGTTTGCGTTATTCCATTCCCTCTTAAATTGTTTAGAACCAGTATCTTTATACTTATCACAATTGCCTTTTGCGCCCACTTGATTCAATTACCTCAGCATTATAGTAATAGTCAAGACATTTCCTACTTCTCATTTAGGTAAGTGGACAAATTGATTCCATAGAACTGTATAGCAAATCGTTAAATCTTGAAAATTCACTTGATACCCTATCCTTGCATACAAGTAATATTGAGATCATGTACACTAGCAAGGTTCTTAGTTTTTGTTTGTTTTCATTAGACCAGATTCGACGACTATGGACAAATTCTGATTTTCTCGCTATTTTAGTAGGTACTATCGATTTCAACAATTGGTGCCCTATGATCTGATAAACCTGGATCAAACATTAAAGAGTTGGTCATAGGAAGATTAGAAATACAATTATCAATCATTGTTTTAGATTCTTTGCAAACACGTGATGGAGTACTGCTGAAAATGGGCTATGAATTGTAGGTTGTCAGAAGATTGAGAAAGTAGACTGATTCACTACTTTTTTTGTCCAAAATATCAATATTGAAGTCACTACAAATGATGGAATGGCACTTTTTATTAAACATAATGTCAAGTAACTGTTCTAGTTCTATGAAGAATAAGTCTGAATTGGAAGAGGGAGTACTATATACATTATTAAGTACATGCAACCCACAACTTCCAATGTTTAATAACATAAATTTATCAGAAGGCTCAAACGCAATTTCCAATGTTTAATAACATAAATTTATCAGAAGGCTCAAACGCTTGGTCGAGATAATCCTGCAAGTCTTTAAGAAACTTCAGGTTTACATTAGGTCCATTCGTGCTTACTTGTAACAGTTTTTTTAAATCTAAGGGTTCTAACTGACTTTTAATGGCATTCATTAAGTCAACAGCAGTAGAACCTCTTAGCAAACTTGATCCTATATAACGGGTAATACATTCGTTTTTGGCTGAACATCAGCAGCGCACATGAAAATCCATTTGTTCTTTCTGAATAAAACTTAAACTTTCATCAAAAGAAATTGAAAACATTTCAGCGTTTTGTACAAGTTGATCAATCAATTTCTTACAGAAGTATTTTCCTATCCCAAAAATAATAATGTAATGCATTTTATCAATACTTACACTTATTTCCTCAGCAATTTGACTGGATTTAAACATAAGCGGAAAACTGTGCAACTTCCCCCGAAGAGAGAGATAAGTCATGGTAAACAGATGCGAAGCACCAGATGATCTCCGTATAGGTGACATCATCTTTGATAAGGGAATTCTAAAAACTGGCCTGTTTCCGTTATGAGCTTGAAGGGACTAACAGAGACTGAGGCTGAGAGGAGTTCTTATTGCCACTTTCCTTCTGGACAGGATCTGTAATTGCTCTTTCGTTTTGGACATGATCCGTAATTGGAAGTCCGTATTTTGCAAGTCTGAATGTCTTGCACCCTTCGCATGACTTCGCAGAGCTCTTTTCCCCATGTTGGACAAAGAACAGAGTCTTCTACACCAAAGACAAGAGAACTCATACTTGTCCACTCGAAGAACTCAGGATTAAGTAACCATTAATCCTTGAAGACAGATAACTGTTTTGGAAGAGGGGCCATAACATATCAAGATCAACTGGACACTACCTGTAAACCAGAAAAACAAAACATGAGGCTAAATAAAAAAATCATTCAAATCACACATAAAACGTAAATTAATTAACAGTTCGATTTTGGGATTGCTGAGAGTTTTTCAGACGAGCTACTGGTCTCATAAAATTTACAGAGCAAAGATGCTAAGGTGGAGCCTTACCAATGAGGTGCATAGATTTTAAAATGGAAAAGCTGCATTTAGGAATGCGTTTTGTGTTCCAACGTTGTTGTGACCAATCTAACTAGCTTTTCTTATTAAAGTAATGACACATGTACATATTGCTGACTTGAATATGATTCTTCTCACAGTTTCTCGAAATGCATTTAACTACAGATTTGAGAG